GGATATAATTTCAAACTATATCCCGTTCGGGATATAAAAAAAATTTTGCTGCAAAAAATGATATCCCAATCGGGATATATATCCCGATTGGGAGTATATCCCGATCGGGATATGTCTCCACACTGACGGAAAGACAATTAAATTTGAAATGTTTTAATTTTCATTTAACTTCTGTTTGAAATTTTGCTCTGAAATTTCCTTCAGCTTATTCTTTGCAGAATGGCATCAGCTACAACTTAGCTAGAGAAAATTTTTCTTGAAAATTATTTGTTATCGGTGGTAAGGATTTCAAAAATTACCTGTTATGCGTACAAGTAAGTAACTTAGAAAACACTCTTTTTACAATGTTTCACTTGTCGTTGGAAAAGTTTTCAAACTTTTTAAAGCTTATTATATACAACCAAAGTTTGTCTACAAAATAACTCTGCAGCGACGTTGATCTGACATTGCAATAAAATAGAATGAGTTATTTTACAATACTATGAAAATCGCAATCTTAATTAAAGTTAATTATTAATTGCTAAATTACTCCTAACCTGTGCATTTCAAACAAGATAACGAAGATATGGCAAACACTTCAGGTCATAGGCCACATTTTTTCAAAATATAGAGAGGGGATGAACTGTTTGTTCGAATAGTACACCAATCTTCATCTGTACATATTAAAAGGAGAGACAAGTAACGAAAGATAAAAAATTGTTTAGGTCATAGCCCACATTATGTCAAAATATAGAGGGGGGTGACCCTCCCTGAATTATAGGCGATAAACCACTATATCTCTCTAACTGTTTGTTCGAATAGTACACCAATCTCCATCTGTACATATTAAAAGGAGAGACAAGTAACGAAAGATAAAAAATTGTTTTTTTTCCTATCGAAACAAAAAGCTACTACTACACTGTAAATGGCAACACTACCATCATCCTTATAGAGAGGAAGAAAAAGAATATAAATTGCAGTGTAAACGGGGTGTATAATACAGAAAGAAAGAAGAGAAAAAATACAAGGTAAGCAACGCATTTTTCCTCGTGTCTGGCAGTTTTTTCTTAATAGAAAAAAAGCATGTCTTCAGAAACAGCAACTACAAATAATAATACTCAAATCCATGCTGATGACGGTATATTAGCTTTAGTTCAAAATACACTACATACGGGTGCTGGTAGTAATGCTCATTTAACTCTTGATCATCGACATCATGTCGAATATCTTCCGTTAATATTATCAAAAACAACAACAACAACAAACAATGATGAAAAGACGGTAGCACCAAGTGATAAAAAATCAATTATTGGCACATTAATTTCAGCATCACAACGAAATATAGTTAAATTTGAAATTGGTATGTGTAAAAACAGATGGTTAATACGACAGAAAAAAGCATAGAATATCCCACTGGGTACCCTGAGACTATAGGGAACTACTCATTTGGAAGCTATCAACAAAATGCTAGAGTTGCCTAAGTATTAAAGTATACTAGCTCCCTTTGTGATACAGTTATGAATGTCAGTAATCATAAGTCTGGGGATGACGGTAGCCCCCTCCCCATAACACCATTTGGGGTCGAACTTAATACGATACATGATGTATTTGTGCATTTAGGTGAGAAATTTAGTCTTGACCATGTCTATTGTAAAGATAATCGTCCATTAGTACCAGGTATACCCATACGCGTGAAATCAATTGAAGCTGAAAGAGTTTATGATGTTACATCTGTTACAGAAGTCATTTATCCATATCTGTACGTATTGGTTTGTTCTGAATGCTTTTTCTAATTACTTTTGAAAGTAAAGACAGTTTTTGTTAAGAAATCAAGTCTGAGAGAGTTATGGGCAGACATGATAAAAAATTTTCGGCGACGACGAAAGAAACTTTTACCATGGGTGGCGGCGGCGCGAGGCGATGAAAACTTTCTCCGTCTTCGGCGGCGGCGTGTAAATATTAGTTATCGGCGGCGAATCTCATAATTTGAATAAAACAACGTTCTCTTTCATTTCTGGCACGTTCTTCGCGCCCCGACTGTATCTGTACGTTGCCGTATACGAAAAGATAGAAACGCACTGCACGCTAGATGCCTAAGGTAAGAACGTACTAACAAAATAGTCAAAATTTTCGAAAAAAATTTTAACTTTTACCGGACACGGTCCGGACTCAAAATAGCTTCAGATTGAGGATCCCCATCTGGGAAGAAAAAAAAACAGTTTCCGAATTTGTTTTTTTACCGCTCGATGCCCCAGATAATTAGACGAAGCTCGCAAATAGCTCGAAAAGAGAATTCTTTTCAAATGATTTTTGTCAAAAAAGTTAACTCTTTGAAGATAGACAGAGTTCCCCTCCCTCCGCCTCCGTCGTTACGTACCCACAAAAACGTTTTATATAGGATGCTGCGGCTAAACCCTATCAAAAGGAATTTCCCCACGGTTTTGATGTTTTAAATGCTTTCTAGGTATTCCATAAACCTTGAGTATGGTACGTCGCACGAATGGACCGTCTATAAACGTTATAAACAATTTCACAAACTACATAAAAGCCTAGTGAAATATATTGAAGATCAAACGGGTGAATCCATTGAAGATTTAAATGAGTAAGCTTTCTGCTCTTCGATGACCGATATCAGTTACATTTGATCTCACTTTTCCGTCGAGGTTACAAGAAGGAAATGAAGATCGGCCATGTTTTCCAACACGAAATGATCGACTAGCGTTCATTAACGAACATAATATAGACCAACGCTGTGTAAGTTTGAACGATCCGTGAATGAACTGAGCGCTAGTGTGTATGCAATTTCAGGCAGTATTATTAGATTATCTGAACAAAATTCTACAACAGTCATATTTTCGAACACATCCGTTAGTCGTGAGTAACTTAATCCCTTTTTCCTCCATATACCGGCGTTTAATGTTTTCAGACAGGTTTTCTTGAAATAAGTTATTTAACATTTGTTCATGGTTTGGGTGATAGTTCAAAAGAAAGTTTCCTACTGAAACGATTAGCACGTGAAGAATATCGCGGATGGAAGTTGATTTATCATATACCATTCTTATTTGATAAATGTAAATTTGGACGTGAAAAGTAAGCCAGGAAGGAATCTAATTCTCAAGAAAAGAAGGAATTTTTTGTTTGCAGTTGGTTTGTCGTTAAAGATACCTATTTAGCATATATTAGTCCAAATACAGCTGCTGTTCGATGGCCGATGTTAGTTGATAGTTCTTTTCAAATTGAAACTGATATTAAACATGTAAGAACAAAACATGGTATTAAAATAAAAAATTCACAACGACCATTAATATTAAAATGTAAAAATAGATATCAAAAAGATGAATGGAGTGACAAATTAGAAGAATTAAGACTAAAAAATGAAGCAACATTTTGTGCACAAAATTCTTATGGTTCATTTGTGCCAATGAGAAGGCAACAAAAAGGACATTGGTAAGACTGTTGTTAGTAATTCGAAGGGCATTACGTTATGGAACATATCAAAAAGAGATCAAAATTACTTCCCCCAATTAAGCATGCATTGAGTCGGACAAAGCTGTAACCGGGCCGGTAAATCGGTATCTATCCGATCTGATTCGACTTTTTCATCCGTTGAATCTGGGGAATTTTTTTGTCGCTTGTTTGCATATTCCACTGAAAGAAAATTGTCTGAGACAGAGGACATCGGATAACCAGTGTAGAGAATCCATAGGAGGCTCCCGAACACATCTAATTTACAAAATTAACAAACTCGCTTAAGAGTACCACGGTCGACGCTCCAGTTCTCTTCGGTTGCATGTCAGTAGCTTTTTTACCTGCGAAAACTGTTGTACTCGTATGGACATTCATTTGTATCTATGATCACTTTTCTCTTACAGTCACGTTTTCCGCGGAAACGATAAATTTACTATGCTAAATTTGCTAAAAAGCTGTGTGCATGCCCACGTCCGACCCAAGATAAAAATATCTGGAAGATAGGTGTTTTTGCATTTTATATTTAAAAGTGCATGTTTAATTCAGGTTTATTAATGGTAAAGATTATATGGAAGCTGTTGCTAAAGCGCTCTTACAAGCAAAAGAAGAAATATTCATAACAGATTGGTGGTTATCACCGGAATTATGGCTTGTTAGGCCAAGTGATAATCCTCTACATCGATTGGATAATTTAATTGGACATAAAGCTGTAAGTCTTTTTCTAGCAGGTTTAATTACACTACCTGTTTTTTGCCCTAGAATGAGGGTGTTCGAGTTTATATAATGCTATTTAAAGAAATTGAAAAAGCATTGGGTATTAATAGTGCATATTCAGAACGAATATTAACTTCGAAAAATAAAAATATGATTAAGGTAAGTTTTCTACACTTTCCGTTTTGTTGGGAGATAATAATAGAAACGTTGTGTATGCAGGTTATTCGTCATCCAGATCATTATCTTGTTGATGGAACGGATAATTTTTGGTCACATCATGAAAAATGTGTTATTATTGATCAAAAATTAGCATTTGTCGGTGGAGTTGATTTATGTTATGGACGATGGGATGATGATGAAATGAGGTAAAGTACGTTGTCTTCGGTATAGGAAGTTATCGTTATCGGTACTAAAGCTTCATTACGAACTCTGATATAGGCACCGAAAGTACCGAAATGCATTTTTGGTACCGGAGGTATCGCAGTTCATATTTAGTACCTCGTATATGATCGCTTAATCGAGACGGTATTAGACGACGTATTGCTGACAGTAACTGATTCAAAATTTCTAAAAGTGTTGATAAAGGACTGCAAAACGCAAATATTTCGCCCAGCTCAAGATTTTTTTGATACCAAAAATACGGAAAATGTCGGTAGTAAAGGGGGTACTGGTACAGAAGTACCGAGTAGGTCGATACCAGTATCTAAATTTTGGTACTTTTTAATCTATTACCGATACCGAAATACTAATAACGTCCCACTTCGATCTATGGTGTATTAACGGTTAGTTCGTCAGTCCTTGGTGTGCATTTTTTCAGGCTAGTCGATTTAGGTAGTGACAATATAGTTGAATTGAAAACGGCCGAAGAACTTGAAGCTGAAGATGCTCAAAAGGCTCGTGATGAATCATCGAAAGGACAACCAAGCAAAGATACAGATAATCTAACGGTAAAAGAACCAATCTCTTAGCTCTCTGATAAACAGATCGACCCGTTCGATTTCTTTTCTTCCAGAGTGATACCGATGCAAATTCAAAAACAGCTGAAATTCCAGTACCAGCACCACAAACTTTACTTTTAACAAAAACGACGAAGGATCAATCAAAGGTAAATTACATTTAAGGTAATATGTCTGAGTAAAAAAGTATAAATGTTCTTCAGGAACAAAAATCAAATAACATTATTGATTTTGATGATGATGATGATAAAAAAGAGAAGAAACAGAAAAAAAAGCTTAAAACACAGCGTAAAGTATGTAGTTACAGATCATAAGAATAGCCATGTATAGTTTGAGAGAAGTGTTTAGATGATGAAAAAAGCTCATCGACAAGAAGAAAATCCAGTCGATGAAAACGAGTTATTAATTGAAGAAGAAGAGACAAAAGTAGCTGCTTCTGGTGGTGCTGCTCGTTATTTTATTGGAAAAGATTATTCAAATTCATACGAAAAAGATTTTGAAAAATTGGATAAATATGATGAAGGTACATACGCTTACTTTCTAATGCGTAGATGTAAGTACACTTGCTGCCTTTTTATGTTCTAGATTATATTTCTCGACAAAAAGAGGCTCGTATGCCATGGCATGATGAAGCATTGGTTGTCAGTGGAGAAGTGGCCAGAGATGCAGCAAGACATTTTATACAACGATGGAACATTCATAAGGTGTGTAGGAATCTTTTTTTAACACTAAAAAGCTATGAATATGAGCAAAGCGTTCGAGCGAACGATGAATTCCTTCTTTCTAATATTCCTATGCTTTTGCTATCGTTAAACTGACTACATCGGGTACTCGAGATAGTATTTTATATGTCAGATTTTCGTTAAAAAAGCGTTGGTTCCTTGTTTAAAACAGGAAGAGCAAAACTCTGATGCATTTTGAAACAACTTTACTTTGTTCAAGGAATGCCTGTGCCTTAATTTTCTACCTAATTGTTTTCTGTCAAAAAGTCTTGTTTTACGCATCGTTTGATTCGGTTTTAAGCACCGATTTTGAATATAACCTCGGTCTTTTGTTGATACTTCAACGGAGAGCAAATTTGCGGTTGAAAATGTGAATTCAAAAGTGCAGAAACAGTCCGATAAACGTGTCCCTAGTCAAAAAGTATAAGATGCAAATCGACTAAAATTAAGTTTTCTACTTAGATTCACTAAAACATATAAAAAGAAATAATAGAGTGTCTAAAAGCTGTACGATTTTTTTCTGCTTATTTCACTGAAAAACTGACGATGAGTCCGATTATCCCGAATACGCCTCGGATTAGGATGTGCCAGTTCCAGTTCTCGCTAATAGAACTGGTACCAAACAGAACTGAAATTGATAAAAACCGAAAAAGTTATTCTGAGACTGATTCACACCTTATGTAGTGTAGAGTAAAGTATCCGCTGGACCATAGTGTTGTTTCTGGCTCTCAATTGCGTTTCCTTTAGAAGATAGGAACTTTTAGGTTCTGTTTACTGAGGGAATCTTCTTAACTTTCGTGTGTTCTGAGGCGTTCGTATGGAATATTCCTCAGTCTAAAAGCTCCTGAGACTCATAGAAAACGTGTTCCTTCAAAAATGACATGTCTGCAACGTTGTCTTGACATTCGGTAAAACTTTCTACACAAAAGATTGCGATTAAGAAAAGTATAACTAAAGCACCGATTTTTTCTTAACAAAAAAAAAAGATTGCTAAGCGTTAAGGCAAATACTCGATGATGACACTTTGCTGCAGACTCCAAAAGGTCGATAACAATCTTAGAGCAACTTCTAAAATTTTTTCGGTTCTCATCAGTTCCAGTTCTTTGAACCTAGTGCATGCCTAACTCGCGTTTGATACATGCATAGATTAAATTCGTATTTCAGCTTACTATTTAATATACATTGTTGGTTTTTGTAGCATCAAAAATATTTGTTTGATGATTCGTATCCATTTTTATTACCAAAAACATATGATAATAAAAATGAATTAATTGTAGACAATTGGAAAGAATTCCTTGGTACAGAGCCAATAACAATTAATGCACAAGTAACTTTTTCTACCAGACATATTTTTCGGAAAGTAACTAGCACTTTTGTGCTTGTTTAAGTTTGTTCGATCTTCCTGTCTTTGGTCAGCTGGTATAAAAGTAACGGAAAAATCAATTCAAAATGCTTATTTCACATTAATTGATGCAGCAAAATATTTTATTTATATTGAAGTAATGTCATCTTCTCTTCTCCTGTTATATCATATAACTTCTACTCTTTGTTGTTTTAAGAATCAATTTTTTGTTACAATTGCTGAACATAAAGAAGTCCATAATCTAATTGGTGATGCTTTATATAGACGAATACTTCGTGCTCATACGTACGTGTTTCCTTACAACGATTTCTATTGTGATATAAATGTGTCACTGTATTATTTATAGTGTAAAAGAAAAATTTCGTGTTTATGTTGTTATCCCATTGATACCTGGGTTTAATACACAAAATGCTGTCGATGCTGTTATTTATTTTACTCAACGATCAATTGCTAAAGGGCCAAATTCATTATATAAAAGATTAGAAAAACAAGGTCTGGAGCATCACTTATCTTTCCTCACTCTAACACACTAAATGTCACCCTCCGTGTGAAATACAATTTCCAGAAATGGCTTTTAAAACACACAGGTTCTGTAATTTCAGGCTATGATCTATACGTCGTGGAAACAATTCTCTGAAAGTTTGGGCTTTTGATAGAATCCTGCTGTTTCAGAATTGTTTAGACCCAAATCTATCCTCCTTTTTCGAAATTCTTTCTCTACACTGAGAAAATCGACTTTTACTGCGGACGTCTCCAAGACGGCCAAGTCCTTTTGCACAGTTTTCGCGAGTTTTGCTTCAAAGTCACTTCTGACAACGCAGAATGAATTTCGAAAAAGCTCTTTATTAGTTTGAAGCCTGACCTCTGGCGAATCCAGTCATGTAAAAGTTTTGGCACTAGCTCCTTTGGGAAAGCTTGAATTAGGGCCGCAAAGTTTGAGGCACGCTTTCAACACGTACCGGCTTTAGACACCGGGAAAAATCCATTTTCGGTCCTAGAAGTCTGAAAGTTGCTTTTCTAGATTCAGTTTTCAGCGCTGAATCTGAAGCATTTAACCGCAGAACTCGAAAACGAAATCCGAAAAAACTAGGGTCAATTTTTTTGAAAACGTAGATTTTTAAGGTTTTTGACATGCTCCAAGTATTTTGAGAATATCTCAGCGTGGAAACGGTTTAGGAAGATGGGCACGTGATATTCGTGACCCCCATTCAATTCTCTATCGAATGGTGCATAAACGAGCGAAATCTAAATTCTGCTTAAATTCAGCTTTCCGTACATCTTACTTGATTTTCGAAATTTTTCTATGAAGCTGGCTACCTAGAATAAATCCAAATAATGATTTAGACACCTGCAGTGATGCTCATTCAGATATTGTTTCATAAAAGGTGTTGCAAATAGGGTTTCCAGAAAATCACTCCTGCGGGTTCCGAAGTCTGTGAGGAATTTTCGGAAAATGTTTTTAGCAAAAAGTTTAGTCTTGTAGAGCTGAATATTCTGATGCAAACGAGGTCTCTCCGAGCCCTCTACGACATCACCTCATGGAACTATAGAAGGTCCAGAAACGACTAAAATAAGCTCTTTCTTGTTTTTCTGAGAGGTTTTTGTCTGGTTTTTAGCATTTTTCGTGTGCCTGCAGCTCCATGAGGTAATGGAAAAATTTTCAAATTCATGTCCGTATCCACGGCTATGACACAATTTTGCAGGGCTGTAGTTTCGAAATCTAAACAGTTTTGGGGATATTATCAAGATGAATTGTTTAGTGGAGCGTCACTCCTCTCGATGACCTACTTGTTCCCCTATGTTCCTTCTTTCTACTATTGTCCGTTAAAAAAAAGAATGGGCGTTGCTATATTTTCAATAACTTTTGAACTTTGCGTTTTGAAGACTTGCGGTTTTCAGCATTGCATAGAGAAGATAATTAGCTACAAAATGACATAGAAATGTCTTATAAAATATCTACAGGTGGTGTAGCTTATCAATCTCTGCAAGGGAGTGTTGCCAAATTATGGGGGCACACTGGATTTTCAATTTTAATATGTTTGCTAGATAGCTAAGCATTACTCTATACATACCCGGAAGCCCCATGGCTCCTTCTACCATGGTTCAGACACTAGGTTTTTCAGCGGACCTATCTATTGGTTAAAGTTCACCTCTTGGAACTTTTGAGACACATGAATCGTAGGTTATCTCCACACTGGCTCTCGTGGCAATGGTTATTTTTCGAAAAACCTTCAGAAAACTAGTGAAAACCTATACCAGACGAAATAATCCATTTGTCACTGTTTGCATCGAAAATTAAAAATTCATAACTCAGCCAAAGTTGCTCCAAACTGCTTTAAAATATGAACGTTGGCTCAACTTTATCTGCTTAATCGTATTGCGTGGTAGAAACTACTTTATGTGTTTCAAAAGTTCCGAGAGGAGAAGTTTAGCCAATAGGTAGGTCCTCAGAAAAACCTTACAGTATCTGAACCGTGGTAGATGGAGCCATGGGGCTTCCCGGTATGTATAGAGTAATGTTTAGCTGTCTAGCAAACATATTATAATCGAAAATCCAATCTGCCCCAATAATTTGACAACACTCCTTTGCAGAGTCTAAGAAGGTATACCATACTATGCACGATATCAGTTCGCTGCGAACTCAAATATACACTGTAAAAAAAGAAACCGCTCTCTTGTGGCGGTGATCCTATTTGTAGAGGTCTTGTTTTGCCGTGCTTTTGAAGTGTTTGACCGAAGAACACTTTGAAAAGTGCTTTAAAGAAAATCACTTGCAAAGCGCTCCTCAGCGGTTACTTGAAAAGTAAACCAAATAAAGACCGCTACAAATAAGATCAGCGCCACAAGAGATCCCTTTTAAAAGTGCTCTTCTCTAGGCCATTTTTTCGAGCGACATTTCTCGAATTTCATTATATCTGATTTTGAACTTATAAATATGATTTTCTAATTTTGTTAGTTTTTAGTTCCTTTGAACCATGGAACTATTCTTAGTACCAGTCTAAAAAGCCTGATACTATCACTAATAGTAATCCATAGGCTAAGACTACTTCTTCGAGACAAGCTTCGATGATTTGTATAGTCGTTCAAGAAAAAATTTTCCAAGTTATTCGAAGAAAATCAGCATTACATACAAACTAGTAGTAATAGCAAAATAAAAGACGTTAATGCCTTGTCAGCATGACTTTAAAAAGTGTCTTCTCAAGAAAAATGCTAAATGTCACACTGTTTGTCACAGTTTTTTCTCTTGGGTCACTTCAAAAGCATCTTTCTACTATGCATTTTTAAAAATGCTCTCTTTGCAATCACTTTGAAAGCACGCGTTTTTTCACGAAGTGCTCTGGTTTACAGCAGATCAAAAGTGATTTATTTTCTTTATACCTGCAAAGGCTATGCTTAGCCATGCGCTTTATAGCAAAATAATTTTTGTAGCACTTTATTTTTTACAGTGTAGTAGTCACATTTTCAGTTCGCAGCGAATTATATTCTATATACTTGTACCAGACACTAATACAGGGTTATTCGTACGCGGCAGGAGGGGAAGAGATGAGGTTGAGCGTAGGTTCGAAAATTAGTTGCACGATATCCTAAATATCTAAGATATCTGGTAAAAAAGAAAACTTACAGAAAACTGAGCTCGTAGCGAACGCAAATTGTGCACGACCTCGGGTACACCATCTGAAGATATTTTATAAGATATTTCTATGTCATCTTGCAGTTAATTATCTTCTCTATGTAATGCTGAAAACCGCAAGTCTTCAAAATGCATTGTCCAAAAGTTATTGAAAGAATAGCCAAGTCTGTTCTTTTTTTAAAAGACAATAGGAGAATTACTTTATTCTTTTTACAGAGAAAGTACTAAAAGAAAGTATTAGGTAATTAATTAATTCACCAAGAGAAGTAGAAGACTTTTGCACTGTAGCCGAAGACTGAGAGATCGGAGGGTATAATACCTTGACAAGAGTTGCAGAGGATCTTCACTTCTTTAGAAGAAGTCTTTTCGACATATGTGTTGACCAAGATAAATCGTTCATTTTTGCCGACAAAAAAGTCATTCGAGAAAGAGGAGAGACAAAAAAATGTTTACATTTAGTACGTGGATTTAACCCAGGTGTTCACCTTATACTAACTACCGTTTCAATACGGTAAATTTAGAAGATAAATACTTTCCTGGGTGAAGAAGCCCCGGTACACGTGTGATGTTTAGACTGAAAATCAAACTATTTCACTTTTAGTCTTGCTACAAACTATTTTCGTCTATTCATACTGCATATGTCTTCCGCTCAGGTCATCTGGAGAAAAGCTAACCGTCTTTACGAGAAATTCGTACTCTAAAGAAAAATGCACTGACGCTCGCGACACATCAGTAAAACCGGCACTACACATCCCACAAAGAATCTGTATAGCTTCGGACCTGGCGATTTCGGATTACATATAAAATGTTTGTGTCGAGAATCGAATACGAAGAAATAGTCTGTTCGGTTTCATAGTCATTAAATTTTATGTTTGGTATTTTGTAAATATAGGTATTAAACCAGAGGAATACATTAGTTTCTTTGGTATGCGTGGCCATGATATTCTCATGGGAAGATTGGTAAGTGGTTTCAAAAACCAGTATCAACAAATAATGATTTTAGTTTGATTGAATAGATAACAGAAATTATTTATATTCATTCAAAATTAATGATTGTGGATGATAAATGGGCAATATGTGGTTCTGCTAATATTAATGATCGCTCAATGGAAGGTTGTCGAGATAGTGAAATTGCTATTGTTATAGAAGATGAAGCAGAAATGATAGATACGACGTTTAACGGTCAATCAGTCAAAGTTGGAAAATTTTGTTCAAATTGGAGAAAAAAACTGTTCCGGTAACGAACGACGGGTGCTTCCTTTTTAGTTTTAATGAAAGGAGACTTGTTCCGAATTCTAGTAGATCTGCAGAAAACTTTGATAAGAAGAAATTTGATAGGGATTTTTTTGAAGATACCTTTGCTATTGTCTGTACCAAAATAGAATGGACTCCGTTGTTTTTTGAATAACTTTCGATAGGAATGACATAGAGACCTGCGGCTTTAACCATCATGTTGCTAAGACCTTAAGACATGTTTCTGTAAGCAGAAACTGGTTTCAAAATTTTCCGGAAGTCCGATTTTCCAGAGGATCTTTGTAAAACCAGCTCCGTTCTCGCAAAACTAACATACAATGTTAGTAATTTATTTTTTATGAAAAACCAGTTTTTCGCCTGTTACTAGCAAAAATTAATATCCTTATATCTCCGTTAAATCTCATGCTGACTCAAGGAATCTTTCAGGAAAGGCTTAAAAGCCGTCATATATTGTTGACGAAGCCGAAAAATTGATCCAATAGAACACTAAGGTTTTAAGGTTTTTCAGAAGGTTTCTGGAAAACCTTAAGCCAATATCCAGCTGAATTTCACCTTTTCGTCTTCGATTATGGTTGATGAGCTGTCCAGAGCGTTTCCTGAAAGATTCCTTGAGAGAGCATGAGATTTAACGGAGATATAAGGATATTAATTTTTGCTGGTAACAGGCCAAAAATTGGTTTTTCATAAAAATGCCTCTGGTGAAGTTATTTTCATTTCTACATAAAAACAAATGTTGCCACTACGCTCAGCGTAGGCGATTACCTATATTCTATGGCACTTCGAGATTCTCAGAGATGTCTGCTCGGAGACAGGCATGTGCATAGGAAAGCGAGCTCTGTGCATACAAAAAAATTACTAACATTGTATGTTAGTTTTGTGAGAACGAAACAAAGATCCTCTGGAAAATCGGACTTCCGGAAAATTTTGAAACCAGTTTCTGCTTACAGAAACATGTCTTAAGATCTTAGCAACATGATGGTGAAAGCCGCAGGTCTCTATGTCATTCCTATCGAAAGTTATTCAAAAAACAACGGAGTCCATTCTATTTTGGTACAGACAGCAGATACCCAATTATTTCGAAATACTTCAAAGCTCGGTACCGACATTTTGGTCACTTTCTATTAACAGTAATGCTATGAAACATAATAAGAGTACAATTTACTAGTAAATGATCAAAAAATGTTTAGACCCGGTCCTTAGTCACGGTAGGAATGTCTCTGAACGAGTGAGGAGTCGGACGTTTATGAAACCCGGTAAGCGAGAATTAATTTACATTCAGTCTGACATAAGACTATGCTAACAAGTTCTTTTGAATTTTTCTCTTATCGACGTTGATATCAAAGTGTCAGTCATTCACTAGATAATGTTTCTCATTTGTAGAATGATGTTAGGCATATTAAAAGAAAATCCAGATAATATTAGCGTTGATGATCCGATTTCAGATGAATTTTATAATATGTTTCGACACATAGCTCATCAAAATACACTTATTTATGAAAATGTAAGTTCCTTCCAAAACGTTTGTGTAGAATTTCTATATTCTAATGTCATAATCTCTTTCAGGTCTTTTTAACAATTCCAACTGACCGTATTCGAAATCAAGAACGTGACCTAGATAATTATCGTTTCTTACCAAAATTAGCTCTTAAAGAACCGCTAAAGGTATACAGTTCAATTTCACTTTATTTATTGATACAGATACTAAATATTGTTGTTTTCTAGGCATACGAAGAAGTAAAACAAATTAAAGGTTTAGTTGTTGATTATTCAATTTATTTTAAAGATGAAGATGAGAATTATTTACCAACTATAACAAGTGGAGGAGAAGGATGGGTACCAAATATTGTTTGGACATAGGACATTTATCGTTGTGGCTCGCTCAAAGAACTTTCATTGCTAGTGTTTTTTACTTAGTTACACTGTTTGTTTGTTTTTTTCTTCCAAACTTTTATAAAATTATTTTATCGGACATAGGTATGTGCTAGTTCCAAAGCAGTGGACTAATCAGAACCGAAACACTTTCAGAAGTTGTACTAAGATCAATTTAGATCCTCTGGAGTGTAAAACAAAGTGCCTATCGCAAAATGGTATTAGCGGCGACTCTGTATCGTCTTCCATTGAGAAGCTTGAATTTTAAAAATATTTTGAGTAAAGATCTGAAAAAAAAACCGAAGACCGGCTTCTAATGAAGAAAAGTGTTTTCTATGAGTCTCAGAAGCTTTTAAGCTGAGGAATATTTCATCAGAAAGCCTTTAGGGCGCAAGGAAAAAAGAGAGTTAAAAAGTTCCCTCAGTAAGAAAGGATCTAACAGTTCCTACCTTCTAAAAGAAAACTCGATTGAGAGTCAGAAACAATGCTAACAAAGACACTTCACTGTACATTCCAGAGGATCTACATCAGTCTGACAAAGAGCTTCTGAAACTTTTTCGGTTCTGCGCAGCTCCAGTTTCATCACTGAGAGCTGGAACTGATGCAAATATACACACATTAAATCAAAAAAGAAAGAATAGAAAGCATTATGTGTGGTTCTTCTTGCCGTTTTAATTTTTTCTGGAACTCTTGAAAATAAAAATATTATGGCTGAGTCTATTGATTTATTTACATGATTGTACGTTTAGCATTTCATTCCAGCTCTTCTCTAGCAATGTTCGCTTCGCGGTTCTGCTATTTCCGGTTCTTCATCGGGAACTGGAACCGCGGTTTCTTAGACGGCTCCTGTTTTCGGAACGGAAACATTTTGATTTGCCTTTCTTTTAATAAGTTGAAAACACACTATTGCGGCTTGTCCAGCTAACAGTCCCCCTTTTCACTCTTTTTCAAAAGATTATTGCAATAAAGCTACAAACTAATCTAAAATGACAACAGATAATTAAGTAGATTAAACATTTCTCTACAAAACGAAAAGTGTCTCGGCTCTGAACGTGGATTCGCTATGAAAATACAGCTGTTGTACAAACACTCCAAAAAATCGATTTGGGGGCTATCTAAAAGGCGTGTCTAAACGAGTGAACATGAGCTGGTAAAAATTGAACAAGTATACCGGTTTGTAGAAAATTGTTTGCTCTACAAGATGTGATAGCTTTTTGAGTTCGAAACTATTCTAATTAATCTATATTAATCAAAGAAAAACCGTGCCGCTGTGACAAAAAAACGTCAAAAGTGTCAAAATAAGGTCAAACATATTCTCTAGCATGTGGTAATTATACAATATTTCAAACATGTTTTCTTAAAATACTTGATAGTGCAAAATCAATTGTAATTGATTGTCAAATGAATGCGTTTATTTCAACATATCCAACAATTTTTAAAACAACAAATCAACGTCCACAGACCAGATGTTTCCAAGTTTATGCTGTAACTGTGAACTCAAAATGGACTAAAATTTGTTGTTAAATATTTATTTCTGTTTTCAAAATAAAATTTAGTTCCATTTTGGATTCTGATGTAGCGTTTTTGACCGTTTTGTTAATTACGTACCTTTGGGCTAGTCTGAGAAATAAATGGCGATCGTCCTGTTTCTAGATGTATTTCTATCAGCCCACAGAAAAGTCTTTTACTACCTTTTTTTCGTTCTTTTATGCAGTCACTTCATATCATACAAAATAAAAACTAATAAATCATACTATTCTGCAAGGGAATGTGCTTCAGTAAAACGAAAGAAACAAAAACCACTTTTGTTATCAGTATATCAGAAGTAAAAGACATTATAAAATCTAATTGTCACTTGGAAAAGTAAATAGAAACATGTCGATAAGATTATCGATACCAAATGACGAAATATGTATGTATGAAAATAATACTTTATCATTAACTATTACATCAGCTATTCGCATGTCAGTTGGTCATCTTGAAGCTACTTATTTTATAATCGTAAATTTACTGAGTGAGTCGTCAGATCCCGTATCTCGGAATTTCCAAAAACGATCCGTTTCTCTATCTTTCCTTCAAAAATTCCAGCAATAGGGAAATTTTGAGTTAGAATTTACTACGACAGAACAGGCGTCTTCCACGTGAAAAAATTATCTCCGAATCCCACTAGATTCTGAAGCTGTCCTCTGAGTTATAAGAAGTTCTCGAGGTCCTCTGAGTTATAAGAAGTTCTCGAGGTCCTCTTTCGTTTTGTCTCTAGAAAGGTTTCTCCAAAACCTTTAGAAGTAGGACTTTCAGAAAACCGTGGGTTTTGGACTACATTAGTTGAATTAAAAGTGTTTTGAAAATCACCATTAGGACATGGAATATTTTAAATAACATATTCGGATTTAGCGTCGAAAGGCGAACATTTTGAAAAAAAACTAAGGATTCAACTCAAAATTTCAATTTTTCAGTTGAATTTAAAATTTCAAACATTCAGCTTTTTTTAAAATGAATGTGGGTCAGCTCCGCTAAGAGATGAACATTCGGTTCAAATGTGGTTGGATAGAGAATTAAAAACTGAACAACCGTGGGGATTTGGCGAGATTTTAATACCACATGGTCAAAGTTTTTTAGGAGATCTTCGGAAAACCTCCTTTTAATTTCACTTTAAGTCCTCTATTTTTCCGGTTAAAACTTTTCTGGCGAACTTTTTCGAAGCACTAATGGGTATAAACAATAAAAATAAGATGTTTCAGCACTAGCGATGAAGTTGGCTGCTGTATGAAGGATATTCGTCTTCGTGTAGATCTTTTTTTCACTTTTCACTTAGACAGACGATGTCTAGACTAGACTTCGTCTTCTTAAAAAGTGCCTATCTCACTTCTAACTTGTTTTGAAAATATTTCTGAATATTATGGCGTCTTGTATTGTGACAGATTGTTCAAAAACGTTTGGTAATGTTGGCAAAGGACGTCGGACAGTTGCATTTTTTCGGCTTCCGACTAAGCCTCTGTTATTAAAAAAGTGGTGTGATATTTTATGTATTGATATTGACACGCTAAGTGTCTGTCTAAGTGAAAAGAGAAAAAAAGATCATGGTGACCTATAGCGGTTGAAATCTCGCCAAATCCCCACGGTGAACCCTTAGTTTTTTTGAAAATGTTCGCCTTTCGACGCTAAATCCGAATATGTTATTTAAAATGTTCCATGTCCTAATGGTGATTTTCAAAACACTTTAAACTCAACTAATGTAGTCCAAAAACCACGGTTTTCTGAAAGTCCTACTTCTAAAGGTTTTGGAGAAACCTTTCTAGAGACAAAACGAAAGAGGACCTCGAGAATCCCTTATAATCCAGAGGACAGATCCATAGCAACACTTCTTCGTGAAATAGTCCTAGACGAGCTTTCTGGTGCAGGACGGCTATTCCAAAAACAGAGCAGAATGCGGCTATTCTATAAACAGAATTCACCTCTGTTAAATAATTGTTTTCAAAATTCAGGAATTCTTACTGTAGAAAATTTTTTATATCCACTTTCACAAAACTCCAACTAGGAATTCCAACGATATCTCTAGAGTCAGTATGCACTACTGAAACTTTCATTTTCGCACTTACGGGATTGACCGTCTGGCACTCTCACTTCGTCTACATAACGTGAAATTTCGTTGAAATTATCGAAGTAGAGCATAATTCCGAAAATTCCCGTAAAACATTTTTTTCTGAGCTTTTATGCAGAAATTTTTTTTCTCCAATAATTCGGCAATTGCTTCACACATTTTTCAAAAAGTTTTCAACATACATTTACGATAAGAAAATATATGAATTCCGTTTCTTGCCCACTTTCATTTCTAGTTCCAGAATTCCTAGAGGAATTCCAAGTGGAAAAAATGTGGAATCCCTGGAAGTCGCATATTAGAAGACAAACAGAGTTCCAGTTCATTTCTCAACTTTCATTCCCGCGGTCCTCCGACACTCGCCTTCCCATCAATCACTGCTTTGTCTACTCAACACACGTTGCCCCCTCTCCTTTCTCACTTGCATGCAAGGCTACCCGTACAGCAGTCCCAGTCCTACCTATTAATCCGTATCTTCCGAAACACACTATAGGAAAAATGATTGAATACCATGCGTCCTCACAGACCACACAGCAGCCTCTTCAATATTACACCATCAATCCCTGAATTTATTTTTCCTGAATCTGTTTTGTACCTACAGTAAAGGTTATCCGCTTTTTTCGAGCAGCAGCTCGATTACTGAAGCAAAAAGCGATTTAGATCGTACCGTTTCTTCCACGCGAAAAACATGCTTCTCAGTAGAAAACGTATGCAACCGTTGATCGTAATATACCATGTGCTGGTTTTTTTCCGCGATACGCAAAATGTTTTTCGTAAGAACAACAAAAGCACCACGTGTTTTCACGACTCAAATACAGACCAGAAACAGAACGCAGCTAGAATCCAACAAATCGCGACAATCATTTACAGCAGGCGTTGCGTTTTCTTCGCAAAGAGCTGGTCGGACATTTTTGCCGAAACAACTTCCCTGATTTGTTCTTACGACAGTCAGATGTTCTGATCTAGACTGCCTAGGCCTCTCAGTAGTATTATTTCTCTGCTGTTTCATTTTATTAACAGCCAACGCGCTTCACAGAGTAATAGCTTTCATTTAGATAGTACTGTATCCAAAAAATAATACTAACCTTTGGACCACTCACAACAGACAGTACCATACTAAGCGAATATACACAATCCTCGCGCTTTCATTCCAACAACGTAGGCTCTTGTGATTGCGCAACATCTATCATAAACCAACATAAACAATGAATAGGATAGAACAATAGACAAAAATAAAAGAATAGAATAAAATGTCGTGGTCCTTCCTGTGTATCATATTACTCTTGAGGAAAAACTTTTAAACACTCAACTGTCTCTTTTATGTGGTAGATCGTAATCAACGTCTGGCCCTAGCGGTACGATTCCCGCTGGATTGATATGTTTGTGTGATGCAAAATAATGTTTTTTTATTTCATCCATATTAACTGTTTCCTTAATCCCATTCATTTGATATATCTCACGTAGAAATCCGTATAAATTTGGATAATCCTTTGTTATTAATTTCTTATTACATTTGAAATGTGTGACATAGACTGGATCGAAGCGGACGAGTGTTGTCCAAAGACGGACATCCGCTTCAGTTAATTTGTTACTGTCAGCTAAATAACGTGATTCTGATAATATAACTTCTAATTTGTCCAATATGTTGAATACATCATTGAAAGCACTTTCGTAGGCTTCTTGAGTTTTGGCAAATCCTGAACGATAAACGCCATTATTTAATTTTGAATAAATCTCGTCGTTAAGTGAATCAATTTTTGATCGTAACGACTCGGGATAAAGATCTAAATCAGGATTTTTGGCGAAGCGATTAAATTCAGAATTTAAAATTCGAATTATTTCTGACGATTCATTGTTTACGACTTTTTGAGTCTAAATAAAACTTATAATTTCTTTTACAACGTATACGGGATCAGTCAGTGCTTACCTTAAGATCAAACAGTACAGGAACAGTCACTCGACCATCATAGTTTGGATCGCTTAACTGATAAACATTTTTCAGATGAGTAAAGTTGGAATGGTGTGGATCGGGAGAGCGTTTGCCAAATGTCCACCCACATCCTTTATCCAATTCCAAAAACCAGTCGACATTTGAATACGAGATGACATCTTCAAGTCCTTTTAGTTTTCTGACAACCAGTGTTCGATGAGCCTAAAGAGAATAGACGATAGAGAAAAATTTATCTAATAACTGTTTTCATGTGCTTACCCATGGACATGCATAAGATACATAGAGATGATAACGATTTGATTCAGCTTTGAATTCAGCTGTTCCGTCATCTTTTATCCAGTTTCGAAATGCCGATTCTATAATAGATAAGGTATATGTCGTTTTATGTCTTCAGTACATAGGCCTACACACCTTTTCTGACAAACTCTCCCTTGTCATTGACAGGCACCGGTTCGTTCTTCGCTGCCATTGATAAATACCGTTTATTTCTAAAAACAGTGACTAGAATGCTATTTATCCACACAAACTGCCTCGCGACTAAATATATTATTCTCATTTTTCCCTCGTCATTGACACGATGCTTTTTTTCTTGTTATTTGATGACGATATAATTTTTACTTTTCTCCACAAAAATAACTGAGATGGCCGAATGTAGGTTTGATTTCTCTTTCTATGAGGACGAAAAATCGACATCATAAACAAGAAAAAAAGCCTGCTGTTAATGACAAAGTAAAAGTCAGAATAATATTCGCAGGATAAAACATGACAAAACAGCTGAATCAAACCATTATTGTCTTTTGTCTTATGCATGTCCATGGCTAAACACAGAAAAACAGTTGTTAGACGAATTTTTCTCTATAGTCTATACTTTTTAAAGTCATCGAACACTAGTTGTCAGAAAACTAAAAGGACTTGAAAATGTCGTATCATGTATTTGATATAAGCTCTATTCTTTCACAATGCAAGCGGAAAAATATTCTGCATTATAGTATTTTAAATTAAAGTTATTGAAAAACACAAAATCAATTTTGTACGAATAGAGAGATTAGAATACATGAACTTAGCTTTGTAGTAAACTGCAAAACTAAATCCACTGTATTCTGTGTTTGTATTCTGTACAATGAGAATACAGACACAGAATACAGTGGATTTACGGATGCTAGATTAAAATAACATCAGCAAGCCAAGATCTTGTATTCTTGAATCTTTCACGTATCCACTCAAGATGTTTCAAGATCTTTTAAGATCTCTTAAACATGTCACTTAAATCACTTAAAAGTGAAAAATTTTCTTTACATTTTGTTTTAGTTTATGACAGCCGTAGTCATCAGATATACTACTATATAGAAGCTCTTCCTTATATCAAAACCTATTTTGATTAGAGACAGTTTTCATCGTATCGATATTTATGAGGAAAATTATCCATTTTTACTACGGACTTAGTTTTACCTGGACAAAATGGTTTATATCTGTACAAGATTGTGTCAAGTTTCTTGATCTTAACGAATGTTCAACAAACCTTGTTAAGATCTTGTCAAGTTTTTTTGAGGAATCTGCCTGCGAAAATCTTGATCAAGATCTTGACAAGATTTGAAAACTTTTCTGTAATTAACAAAATATTTGCTAAGAAAGAAAGTTACTAATCATTTTGATTACGAGCTGATTCAGAGGTTCGACAAAAATGCAAATATGTCAACTTTGCATTTATTTATAGTTATTGTAGCACTACAGTATAGAGGACTTCTGCTAATATTCTGTTGGTCGAAAGAGTAGAGAAATAAATGTGTTTTTCTTTCAATCACCATTTTGTTTGACATTGTTCTTGCATATATAAGAACAAGGTAACGTTCGTCTTCACTCGCTCGGTCCCTTGACTTTATTAAGTTGGATCTGCACAAGCAAACGCCCTTTGGTGTCTTTTAAATCGAACACAACGCTCACGCCTCCCTTCGGTCGGCGCTCACTGGAGACCTGCCCAAGACATCTTCTAGACTTTTTCTGTTGTCATGTGTAAGGTTCGGAATCTAATTAGGGGTGGCACTTTCCCGTTCCTTTCCTGAGTAACGATAAAGTGGTATCTTTTATTTCAAAAGTAAAGATACAATGTATATCTTTTTCTTTCCTAAGAAAAAGGAAAGAGGCACCTTTTCTTTTCCAAAAGAAAGAAAAGCAATATCTTTTCTTTTTGCAAGAAAAAGACTTCCTTAAAAGGTGCAAAAAAAAGTCTTTTTCTTGCAAAAAGAAAAGATATTGCTTTTCTTTCTTCTGGAAAAGAAAAGGTGCCAGTTTCCTTTTTCTTAGGAAAGAAAAGATATGCATTATATCTTTACTCTTTTTTGTTGTAAAGAAAAAGAAAAACTTTTCTTTTGTTAATAAAAAAAGGAGGTAGGAAAGAGAAAGTGCCACCCCTAAATCTAATATAAATATAAAGAGCAAAAATCTCAAGAGGTCTAAAACTATTTCTGAATTCAAAACAATCCTCACAAAAAGTCACGAAAGGGCGTTCAGTAGCGCAGATCCAGGTTATTAAAGTCAAGGGACCGAGCGAGTGGAGACGAGCGTTATCTTGTTCTCTCTTATGTAAAAAATAATTTTCTACTTTTGTCTCTTGTGATTCGTTTATCCATAGAATATCTGACAACCATTTTTCCGTATTTTGCGCACACACAGACAACTATTTTGTAAGACCCTAGACTAAAGTCAAGGGAATACTTGCACTACAGAACATTCAAAATTTTGAAAGTGAAACTCAAACATTGTGTTTGAATGTATGGTTGCTTGTGCATTTTCAACAGCTCTCGTACTGTATTTATAGTAACGCACAGCTTGTACTGTAGTTATACAGTAGAAGAAAATGAAAATATGAAGTAGAAAATAAAGTTTAAGATTTTCTTTCAAATTCCCAAATCTGTTAGCGAAGGGCACCAGTTTGTAGAGAACACTTCGAAGTATACGTCTCAACAAAGCTTTCAGTTCCCGGATTTGTAGTTTTTGATAAAAAAAATTTTGAACTTTTTTTCGGGTTTTCTACCCTATTTTTAGAATTTCAATTAAGAAAATCGCGTTCTCGCGGCGCGAGTCTTGCCTTGTTATTAAAATCGCGACACGAGATAGCAAGAGTCGAGATCAGTCGCGTCACGAATCCTATTATGCAGACCAGCTCTACAAGAATTCTGCATAGTCGCGATAAGTTTCTGCAAGAGTCGTGCATAGTTGCACCAGATTTTTTCTGCTCCTAGCTTGATCCTATTTTTTGCTCGTTAGACAGTTTACCAAAAACAGAAATTGCTTACAGTGTTTTAAGAGGAGTGCGACCATCTCATCTCTGCTTTCAAGATTTGAATCTCTCCAAAGACACGTTAGATTTATCCGATCGAAAATAGCTTCTTCAGATCATTTCAGACCTCAATGTATACAGTGTTGTTTTCTTACCTGGAGTATCATCCGGTCTTGTGATAAAGCTGCCTCGAGTATACCAGTTTTTCTTCTTTGCTAGATGTCATTCAACATTATTTACGATAAATCACAGTAAAATCACGAAACAGAAAGATAAGCATCAGAAAAAGAGTACTATCAGAGGTTTGCATTTCAATCCATGAGGACTTTTTAAGCAACTATCGGGCGATATAACTCGATATTAGTGGAAAAAATTGGCAGTATCACGATACTTATCCTATTTATTACGATAAATTCACTATAGCGATCTATAGATCTACTTCGATATGTCATGCTATATACGTTATTAGAATAAGCTTGCTACCCATTGTGAGAAAAATTGGTGCTTCAATATAGGTAGTTGAAATTTTATTACGCTAGGTCGAGACAGAATTATTGTGTAGATAAGACTTTCACTCATCTAGATAGAAAAATGTTGAAGTAGATCGCGATAGGAGACTTAACTCGCAGTAGCGATGACTCATTGCCTACCGTCGGAAAGATCATGTTTATCGCAATAAAAATCCATATCTTGTTTTTATCCAGGTACGAATGAGTTTCGATATATCTATGCATATTGTTGACCGCGATGACTATGCTGTTTATCGTATGAGTCACATGATAAACAGCATAGTCATCGCAATCAACAATGGTACAGTATATGTCACATAATGTGACATGTGACATATATTGTACCCTGACATCTTCAGCGCTAAATTCAGATGCTTTGATTGTTGAGTTAGTTGAAGCATTTATCAAGATTATATTGTTGTCGCAGCTGATCAAGATAATATTTTTTATTCCAATGTGTTCCGATAGTCACATGCTTGTAGTCTTACTCTGCAATAAACACATTGTTAGGGTACAGCATCACACTGTTACATCAACATATTCTGTTTATCCTGTTAGTGACATTTTTATCTCGGTAAAATTTATATATCGGACTTCATCGCAATAAACTAGATAATGAAAAGAAATAACCGAAACTTAAAAATCAAAAAAAGAATAAATTTTGTTTATCGTTAACAGGTTTTGGTTTCTGTTTCGCATTACTCACAACTAAAGTCGCACTGAGTGACGAATCGACGGCAGATGTAAGAAATCTGTAGGCCCTAACTACTTAAGTTTTCACAACAATACAGTAAAATTCATGCGAACGCTACCAGTTGTTTTTTTCAAGCAGTACCATCCAGTTTCAATAGTACTCACATATAGAATGAGTAAACGAATCACACCAACTTCTATCATGGCATGTCCTCCTTAAGGAGGAAGGATACTTTGTCAGCATCCAGTTTGGCACTTAAGTGCACCATGTTTTACGGCTTACTCTTTGGAACATGATGCACGTAACAAATACACAGTTATTTCAGAATAGTATATCTGGTGGACCGTGAAGAAGTCCTTTCGCCTTTTCTATTGTTACAAAGTTGAACTAAATGTTTTTTTGAAGTGTGGCTAAGTCAGAAGGTATTTTGGAAAACCAAATTCGAAAGTGAATATCATCAACGGTATCCATCTATATTTTTCAATTCTGGTTTGTCATGAGACTGGAATTAGATCTCAAAATATACGTGAAATAGATTGATATCGTATTGCTCGTCTATGGGTTTTACCGTAAGGAAACGTTGCTGTATGTGATGAAACATCACGCTTGTACTTACAGACGATGTGTATCCGAGAAATACTAACACTATGAACACTTCGTTGCTAGAGCCGAGAGCTAATCTAGCGTTCTGTGAATGAGGTGCTCTGGAACTATGCCGCTATCCTCTGTGCGTCAAACAGGACTGAACTGATCTTCGCTACATCCTATAAGTCCCCAACAACAAAGCGATATTACACCGAGGAAACTCATATAGAGGCGATAATCAACCATTTAGTGCATTTCTCACTTTAGTGCATATTTTGAGATTTTTTAACACGGTCCACATGCTAGTTGAACCTATATAGGCGAATTTCTTAGATTTTGTGCATTTTCTGACAAAGGTAACCGAGCTTTTGACTTTCAAAAGTGTTAGCAGAAGAACGGCTCAACTTTGTAACAAATGTAGCAAAAACGAAAGAGCTTATTTTTTTCTCCTTCTACACACTGGCTCAAAGTATTTCTGATCGATTCTCTATGATGGATTATCTATATTCCGTAATTATTATTATCCGTAGACAACTTTTCTTTGTGTTATCGAATTTATCCTTCTGTCTGGCGACATCTATCTCAGAACTACAGAAAAAGTTTGCTTAGCTTTGTTTTTCTCTTCATCAGTAGCTATTTCAGCTACCTCTTTAAATATTTTCTCTCTTTTGGTTAAACAGAATTTTTTGTCCTTCTGTCTTGTGATTGGCTGATCCATGTCTTAATCCCAAATCATATCCATCGAATATCTGACAGCCATTTTTCCGTACTTTGTGTATAAATAAGTACACAGACAGACAACCATTTTATGAGATCATAGACTAATAAAGTCAAGGAAAAGTTTGAGGAAGGTCAAGATCAGATACAGGGGTGTATCTGATGCTTGGCGAAAAAAGCGTATTATTTCATCCAAGTTTTTTGATGAAACGTTGCCCTCCTCTAACTGTATTCTAGTAAAAGAATAATATTGAAAATTTCTTCCTTGGATTCTGTAGTCTTTTCGATGTGGTCAGGATATTCTGCAACTAAAATTTCTAGCTAATCACTATCATCAGCGTAAACCTAACAGAAAGTAGCGTCTGATTATAGAAATTTTAACTGTAGAATATCTTGACCTCTGATACATTCGACAATTAGACTCGAATATTTTTCCACATATGAACCGGTATAATACAGACATTCAATCGAAACCGTTTAAATAAAATCATCGTGGTGAGAGTTTAATATTAATCGAAATTAATTAAAATAGCAGATTTTTCTCTTATTTTGGCTGTTTTATTGCAGCGGACAGTTCTAAGTAAAGAACAGAGGTATGAAATAGGTTTCAATGGTGATTTTGTCATTTTTCAATCGACTTAATATATATTATCTTGATCAATGAGAGCAATTTGTCTTGATCGACTTCAGTAGGAGGGTGTATATACTTTAAAAATCATGTTGTCAAAATTAAACATCACAGATTCATGTGTATTCGGTGATATTGATGATATATTTACATCTGGTGATCTTATCGAGAGCGAAGGCGGTACAATTCGATATAAAATACAAACAAAACGTCAATTTTTACCAGGAGAATACCAAATACACATAGTCAATGATAATAAAATAGCGATTGTTTGTCATGAACAAGTTGATCCCGAAAAAATTGACAAACTATTAAAACGTTCGGATGTTATGGGAAATTGTTCTAATTTTTTATCCCGTTATGATTGGATGCATTACAGGTACAGATCAGATCGTTCTGATAAAATTTTAACATAGCAGGTGGCTTATTGTTTTACTCTTATAGGAATTGGCGTTCACCTAATAATGATCGGTTTATGAAACACGGTGGAAAATTATTTAAGAAAATTAAAGAACAATTTCATGGTAGTAGAAATGATGATAATTGGACAATTTGTGCTTTAGTTTTTTTTGTTGCTCATGAAAATATGAACGATGTGGAAAATATTAATTTTATCATTGAAAAACAAAATGACTATGTTTATATCATGAGACAAATGCATAGCGGTGATAGTGAAAAGAAAATACTTGGTTATATTATTAATTCTATACCTGATGGTCAGAATGGAAAACAGTCGATGATTCTTGGTGATTGGCACTATGGTAATTTATTAGTAGATTCAACAAGTGAAAAATGTTTTGCATTTGTCTTTGGAGATTTTTATGCATGTCAAGTATTGTCATGTGATCTGTCAAAACTTTATAAACATGATGAAATTGAAGATATTTGTTCAAAAAACTTTACTTATGATATCAAACAATTCTTACTTGAATAATACAGTTCTTTTCACATGTTCTGAATCAGATTTATAATGAAAAATAGAAATGTTTATAATAAAATAATAAACGATAAAGAAAATTCTTAGTCAAATAATAAACTGTATGAAGTTAATATCGTAATCATTTTGGTAAATCTTTTTCTTATAGTAAACAAGAAAAAAAATTATCGAAGTTATTGCGATAGATTAAGTTAGATTGCGCACACCAGTTGGCTTCTCGATTGCAACATTCAACTATTAATCTCAAGAGAAGAAAAACAAAGCACTGTATATTGAAACAGATTTCAGCATTTCAACTCATTCTATGATAGTAGAAATGGACAACTCTTCTTATAACTCCATAGCAACTGTTATTTTGTTGTATTAGAGTCGATATTTTCCTAAATACACAGTCTAACTCGGATAAAGTTTGCATAATTTCACTCAAACTTCGCTCAATTCCAAAATTGCTAAATCCAACTCTTGTTTTCCGCTACGCGATCTCGCATTTATTTTCTTTCATCAAGTAACAACACCTGAACGTTTTCTCAGCAACTGTACAAAGTATACTCTGGATACTCAAAACATGTTTCATTTTTCAGTTTGAACAAAAATAGTACGCTAATTGATCTTAACACATCAACGTCCTGATAACTGAGGCAATTAGTTAAAACTGAACTGTTTATTTTCTTCAACCTCTTCAACCTTTGTTCAATCTTCTATAAAGATGACTTGCCAGTCGAAGTTCGAAATTCTCCATATTCTACGCTATACGGAATTTCAAAACAGCAAACATTTCCAGATCTCAGAATTTTAGAATGTCACCATTCTTTGACCTCCTAAATATCTACAATTTCAGACGTATAGAACAACACTATTCTCTGAATTGAAAAATATTTAGAATTTCAGAATCTCAGAAGTTTAAAATAAAACTATTCTTTGAGTTCCAAAATATTTAAAGGTTCAGAATCTCTGAAGTTTAGAAACACTATTCTCTCAACTGAGGAATATTTAGAATTTCAGAACATCAGAATCTCTTAATCTGAGAAGTTTAGAATAAAACTATTCTGCGAATTGAAAAATATTTGGACTTTGAGATTCGCAAAATTTCTGTAACACGACATTTCCACGAACAACATTATCGCGAAGACTTGTTTATTGGAAAAGAAGAATAAGTGAGCCTTGTTTTGTATATCATGTTTGGAAACCTGAGTGAAGTTATGTAGTTAATAGTCATTGTATGATACAGTTCCAGATATCTAGTTTCATTGTTTATCATGCTTGACCGATTTTCACTTCAGTACACGATAAGCTGAAGCTCACTATTTAGCAGCAATGGTTTGTATATAACTAGGATTTTTATAGCAGTGCGGAATCCGCGGAACATATTGTCTCCTTGTTCTTTCAAATATTGAGAAAGGTAAATCATTTTCTTTCTCAAAAGCAAGAAAAGATACCACTTTGTTTTTTCTTGGAAAAAAAAAGGTGCCACTTTCCTTTTTCTTTGTAAAAATATCGGTACAATATAGATACACAAATGGGAGAATTGCAAGATAAACGTACTATTCTGCAAACATAAGGGTTCTATGTAGAACAAAGTAACGGCTGAATGAAATTTAACGAATCATTCAGGCTAAATGGTTAATACTTACGTCAAAAATGACATTGTCACTTCGCTATCGAAAGGAATATTCGATCATAATAAACGTCATTGGCTGATTATGGAATAGAATTACACAATGGTGCGCTCGTCCATTCTGTAGAGAGAATGAAGTTTTCCTGAAAAATACTTTCTTTGGACGTCGTAAAATGTTAAATGTAATAAGTGATTAAATCAAACGACTTTTATAAATCTGTTTTTCTGTAGTACTGACTTAGAACGGTATTTTCTATTATTTCATACTTCAACATGTCTTCTGACCGTCCAGATTGAACTAATGAAGAATATAGCCATGTGTCTAAGTCAGATCGTTGTCCTATATTTTCCAAAACAAATGCTGCTGCTTTTACCATTACTTCGTAGGCATACCAATTAATATTTTCTATCGTATCACATTTGTTATGATAACAAGGATCGAGCATTGCATTTACAATACCAGCATTTTCCCCTTGAGGTAATTGAGCAGCATAGCGATCACGTTCGTCTTGAGTCTTAATGGCATCCCCACCCGTAGTTAAGCCTGCACAAGCTTTTCCAGCAGCTAAAAATGGACCATAATCACTCCGGCCATCAAAGGCAATCGGAGACCATGGCAATTTATTATCATTAAAATATTTGATAAATAGGTTTGTAAGCAGAATACTCCCGTTTATTGCCTTTTCATCCGTTGAATTATCGATCGAGCTTCCACTAAATATACCGAAATTGAAGTTCGGTGAAGCTAACATATCTAAATTAAGGTTAACCAGATAATCACGAAGATTTTCACCAGGTTTAGTATTGTTTACTGCTTGCTTAATGTGGTGAATAGATCCTCTCAAACCAACTTCTTCAGCGCCCCACCAGCAAAAGCGGATACGATTCGGATACTTTGGATAGCTTGGTGTGTTTAATAGACTATCTACATTTGTGGCGAGAACCAGATTTGCTGCTGTACCGCTACCATTATCATTAATCCCACTACTTTCTTTTACACTATCAGTATGACTGCCTACAACAATTGTTTTCGAAATATTACCACTTCTTGTATCTGCACAAACATTAGAAACATTAAAATCATCGAGATCTTCGACAGTGACCTTCATTGTTACTTCTACAGTACCATTAAAGTCTATTATTTGTTTAATACGATTACCAATATCGAATGATAAAAACAAAGCGGGAAACGATGTGTAAAAACCAACCCTGAAGTTTAGTGGATCGTTTCGATCCCATGAGGCGCCATCGTTATACACTAACAGTCCCCCGACATCATATTTTGCAGCTAACCGAGATTTTTCGACAGATGTGCATTGACCCCGTTTAACAAGTGCTACAGTGGTACGATTTTGAATCTTAGGATTTGCACGTTCCCAATCGACAGGGAAGCAACCAAACTCAGGTATTACCGATACGGGTTGTGATAAATTACCGTAAGCTCTACTAGCGTACTGCATATCGGTAAAATCTGTTGCGTACGTATAATTATCTCGTGTACCATTAAAATCAATAATTAGTGTCGGCTCACCATCTAGTTGATAATTGGGAACAGAAAAATACTCAAGTGTATGTACTTCAAGATTTGTCTTGGTCCTCAAATAATCCACTATATAACTGACTGTCTTATTAAAACCGTTCGAACCAGTAAAACGGTTTCCACCAGTAGTCGAAGAAATATTCTGTAATGCTTGTAAATGAGCTATCATTTGCTTCACAGTGATTGTACTGGACAGAGAGGGTATTAATGAAGCTGAAGTTGTAGGTGAACTTGACACAGTTGCTGCTTTCTCTGACAACTTTTTATTTGCAACACCTAATGCAGTTGCTAATGCAATAACAGTAATAACAAGTGCTACAGTAAACCCACTTAAAATCAAAATTCTCTTGGATTTGATGCAATTGACGAAGATACCTTTATCTCCACCACCATCTGCATATTCGTGACCCATTACTTATCACTTTCAATAAATAAAGGAAATAACTGAGAACTGCTAGCGCAGAGCTTTTCAATGCGTTGTAAGTTATGAGCGATGAAAAGCGATTATCAGTGTCAACTCAAACTATGGTACACAAAAAATCAAGGACTTATTAACAAATACGCCTTATTTGATCATAGGTACACACTTCTTACCAGTTTGAAATGTATATTGAAGAATGACGTGTGGTACACATTACTTGTGATATACATATATTGTTGTGTAATAATAAATACTACAAAAAAAATCTCTAGAATATCTCGTCCTTTTCTGTCGCTGTACTAGCATGATTTAAATGTAAAAGTATGAAACATAAGAGCAAGTGAAACAACATCGATAAAAGCAATAGTATTGAATCTTCGTCAAGTGTTTTCATTATTAGAAGAAGAAGAAATTATACATTAAATAAAAATAATCTTTTCAGCTTCGCAACGTTTTAAACAACATTTTTATAATACTACCTTTGAAACTTACGCACATAAAAGAATTGATGTAACTAAGTATACCAAATGTTAAATGTAATCATATTTAATTTCTTTTTGTCAACTTTCACATTATCTGCGCATCATAAAATTGTCTTGTATATCACCTTTCTCTGCACGCGAAACCTTAAGAATACTATCAGATGTATCTTTGTTAATAACGACTTTTTGTCGAAATTTTTCATTTAAATTATTAAAATGTTTATCCATTTTATCATAAAATAATTTTTCTTGGTTATCAACTGTAGAAGTAGTGGACACACCAATAGAAGCAGTAAGGGTACTTTTGTATGCTCCTGCATCAGAAACAACAGCCAAATCATTAACTTCAATAACATCATTATTAGAGAACTAAAAACGTCGATTTTTTCAGTTCTCTCATAATGTAGCAGAAGCAGTTATATAACGGTCTGCTAATGCAACAGAAGCTGCGATCGAACCATTGTTTCATGGTGAAACAGGATCCAACTGTGTTAAAGTATCTTCTGTTGGAACATCCAATAAATCTGAATTTGTCATAATGAGTAAATAGACTGAGAGTTAACAACTTGAAAGAACAATATTATAATAGAAAAGTTTTTTTCGTAACAAATAATAGAGAAGTGAGGAAAAATTTAAATGTAACATGAAATGGCGGCAAAAGCTGTTTATATAGAACCGAGGGTTTCTCCATATCTGACATTTTCTTTCCCTCTTTTCATTCATTATACATTTCCTATATCTCATTGTTCTCGGTAATTGTTCTGAATGCGACTTTACATATATTTTTTCTAAAGGCATTTATAATTTCGACTAGCTAAAATTTAAATTTTTTGTCTAGCTACAACATCTATACATAAATACCACTGTTTTATGTGAAAACACAAAACTTTTTATTTATTTGTTTCAAAACTGCATAGCAGAAAAAAGGTGAAAAGGGTCTGAATGCTCGGTTATCACTCCGATACTTACGGGGAATTCGCTTCGACGGTGGCTTAACGATGAGTTTGCTGCAAATACCAGCACTTCAGCGTGGCATGTGAACCATATATAAAAGCATTGATATCAATGCAATGCTTTGAATATATTCCTAAAGACTTGCTGCTTGTGAGTCAGCTTTTAGAAATATCGGCAACACTGTTTTTCAAATAAAAATTCACAATGGAACAAAGTTTGGAAAATCGTTTAATGTCGTTGTCTCCATTTTTCGTTAGATAATGTTGGAGTTATGTGAGGTATGCAACTATTGATGCTCTATCAAGTCTGAATAGGGAGAAAAAGAATGTAAATATTGTTCAAAAGTAAATGTGCTACAAAAATTGGCTATTTTCAACATAAATTCGAACGTCTCAATTTTCTTCCAGAAATTACAAAAAAGACTAAAACAGCCTTCATAGACTAATTTGCTCTTTGTATGAAAGAATACGTTTCGGATCGTCCTGAAAGTCATTTACAAATCTTCTTCCAAATATCTAGACTCGATAAACCCTAGATCTTTTTCTCTGTTTAAAATAGTGCGTGTATACGTTCTATTTATTATCTGTAGTACTTTTGTTTCTTTTTCTTTCTTCCATTCGACTATACATTTGTTTTATTTTCTATTTTACTCAGCTGTTTTATCTCTTTGAATTGACCCATGTTCGCTGTGGCACCATCAAAAATAATGGGGACTTGTTTTCTCTTTTGGTGGACACTAGTAAATGAATTTCTACGAAAAATTCTTATACGAAAAATTTTTTAATCATGAAAAGTAAAGACCTCCAAAAATTGGTACTTCCCAAGCATCAAAATGGAGAAACACCCAGCAAGATATCTCGAGATTTGAAGGATGCCATTAGTCGTACTCAGGTTTTTCAATGGTGAAAAATGATCGCCGAGACTGGCTCTATTGAACTGTCAACGTCTCCAGGTCGACCTCGTATTATTCGAACAAAAAATACGATTCAAAAAGTTAAAAACCGTTTAAAGCGGAAGAAACGCGTCTCAACTCGAAAACTGGCCAGTGAACTTAAAATTTCAAGAAGAAGTGTGCAGAGAATTTTGAAAAATGATTTAGGA